ATAGATAGATAGATAGATAGATAGATAGATAGATAGATAGATAGATACAAATATATTTGTAATCTATCCATCCATTATCGTTAACACTTATTCCCTAATGGGAGCCTTATATTTAGAATATATAATAAAATACAATGTTGAATTTAAAGTCTAACCACCCAGCTCCTTTCTATTAAAAAGAAGTCAGCTGCTGATCCTTTATTGAACCAATACACATTTGCTATATTAATCAACTGTATAAGCAGCAGTTTATTAATACTTCAAACTGTTCGCAAGTAAAGTTTTGGTGCTATTAAAATCTAATTATGATAATCTAATATAATAGAAAATCCTTGAAATCTTTAGAAGGTGATTCTTTTGCCACTAAAACAAGACTTTTTGTAGTTGAAATGATTAATCTGTTTTATTTAGTATGTTACTCATATTTTAAGTAGTATTATCCAATAGCTACTTTGTGAATCTCACTAAAGCAGTGGTTTGATGCCTGAATACTACTTTAACTTTTAGTCTTTAAGTAAAAATACTCGTCCTCTGCCTGTTCCTGTCTTATCTTGTGTTGGCAAAAGATATAGAGGTCAAACTTAATTCTAATAATAAAAACATATTTTTTTACAGAAAAAATCTCTTGATTGTGTGTGTACTGTGTCTGAGCAAAATGAAAATCTGGAGCTACCTTTCCATCTCCATTTTCCTACCTTGACCATTTTCCTGTGCTTGCCCCTCCTCTTCTTGCTCCACAAGCTCCTCTGCCTCTTCACCTTCCTCCACATTTTCGATCTCCTCTTCCTCCTCCTCCTCTTCTTCTTCCTCCTCCTCCTCCTCATCATCCTCCCTCATGGCTGGTGAGGTGAGGGTAACCTTCAGTGTGAGTTTGGGTTCTGTTGTAGTTTGTACCAAGATGGCTGCCTCGGGCAAAGAGCTCGTGACCTCATATTTCTCCTCTGTCAGCTTCTGTCGTGTTAACAGACACACGCTAATGATCAGAGGCCAAGGTTAAAACATGGCAAAATGCATCAGATTCAACCATGGCTCCTAATGCTAAGCAAATAAAAAAAAAAAACATTTTGCAGTCCACTTTCACACAGAAGTTGATATCTATTACATGATATATAAACAGAAATCCTCTGACATAGCACTGGCTGCCCATTATGCTCATCGTTCGTACTGCATCATGGAGAAAAAGAAGAAACACCTTTCAGACACATTAAAAGGGTTAAGACATTAATGGATTTACAGAGGGTGTAATCTACAACAGAAGGGGCTAAACGGAGTGAATACAAGGTGACAGCATCTAACAAAAATAAGCCCTGTATATTTGCGCTTCATGTGTGTAGTCATGTGTGGGTTAATATCAGGAGCATCAATTCAGAGCCATGACTTGTTAATGAGGAAATGTGACACACTGACATGACAACTCTCGACTTCACACTTGACGATATTGCTCTCTCTTGCCTACTTATGTTCGGACTAACACCCACTGTTTTTATCTACATGCTCATGACCAGCACAGCAAGAGCTGGCAAATGTATACAGAAATGCATGTTTTAAATGGGAGCTTATTAAAAAAAAAAAAAAATATATATATATATATATATATATATATATATATACATACAACATTTAAGAGGACAGTGAAATACTATATTGCCCTGGATTTGCTGCAGTTGTAGATTTAATTTATGCTAGGATGGAAATTTGCATGTGCCAACAGCATTTTCACAAGCAAGAAAGAAGAAAACACAAGTGAAACCAGAGTGCAGTTTGTGCTGGTATGCATGTCTTTGCATGTATGTGATGTCTACAGAAGCATCTAACCTGGATCTGTGTGGGTAAATTGTGACAGACAGTGTCCAGCAGTGTCTGTGTGGGTTTATCTCTGCACATCAACACCAACTCCAAGTCCATGTCGCCTTTGATCAAGAGTCCTTTGGCGACTAGACCGATCCTCATCACTCCACACAGGACGCCACCACTGCTGGACTCCCTGATTTAAACATGAAAACAGCACTGGTTGAGTTTTCTTTTGTTGTTTTAAGCTTTAAGTGCAAGTACATTCCAACTGACAAATTAAAAAGTTCAAAGATACCGTTTATCAGTGTACTTCATACTGACACCAAATTATACTCGGATTGAAAAAAAAGTATTTCTACACAAAATGTTTTAATCATCCTACAATTTTATGTTGCATTTAGTAAATGAAAATCCTATTTGGGTCAACAGATCTAATCTATGGGAGTTCCAAACCTAATTTGCTCAGCATAATAAATGACTCTCTGACAGCCTGATGAAGAGATTAAAATACAAAGTAGCAGTTAACATCACAAATAAGATCAGACAGTGTGATTCACTACTTCAATGAGAAGTAGTGAAGCGTTAATAAAAAGATTCATGAAGGAAACCAACCATGCAGACCAAACGTGTCCAGAGACAGCGTGGAAGTTTATTTCCTGAAAATAACACTCTGCCTGCAACCTGTGCATTGCACAGATGTTTCCCCTGCGGTGGACTCGTGAATGGCAGATTTGTGGCGTAAAAACACTGATATGTTTTACTGTGTCACGTAGGTTTACATTCAGGTGACTGATCAGTCATCGCTGGCATCTCCTCTTTCAGTTGTATATTTCCAAATTATCAGTGATTGAACAGTCACATTCGCTCATTCAGTTAAGAATCAAACAAGAAGTCCTTAAGAGCAACAAACCATTTCCAGAGGTCATAAAATACAAGCCTCGAGGGTTTCACTGACTGATTGTCCTCCTACATTTTTAATGAAATGACTGACTCAAAATAACTTCAACATTTCTAGTTAGGACTAAATATTGATATTTCTTCTTACAACTGTATATTTTAAGAGCCTTATAGGTATTTGTCATATCTTAAATCAGTTCAACAACGATAAAAAAGAAAGAAAGAAAAAAACACCCAGTAGTATTGGGCTTTAAAAAGGAAAATAATCAAAATTTCAGTAAGCAAGCGTGTGTTTTTTTTTAAGATTAAAATTTGTTTACTTGTAGCAGTGACTGGATTCCTCAGATTCTTCACTGGGCTCGTCACAGGGCTTTTGCTCCTCTGTGCCGTCTGCTGGTTGGCTGTCAAACTGGTTTTGGGTGCTGCCGCTGCTCTGATCCAGCCAATCAGAGACATGTTTGAGGGCACACTCAACAGTGGACACCAGAGTCTGAACAGCCTCTAGCTCCTGAGATGAAGGGTAGATGGTGGAGTGCTTCGCCATGACATGGCGGTCATCGTTACTAAAGGAGCGGAAGGACCTCTGAAAGACAAGGACGAATAATAGTTAGATAGTCCAGATTTGCAATAAAAAGGCAGAAAGTGCTTCATTTGTGAAGGTCAGTATATGTTTCTTTCTTACTCACATACCGTGAACTCTTTTTATGGGAGGTATCAATTCTATCTTTGACAGATCCCATTTAATGTCACCAACACCGACACACAACAATGGATGCACATGAACACAGCTATCAAAAAATACATCTGAGCACAATCCCTATATCCCCTCCATTCAATCAGACATTTTGGCCTTGGGAATTCGTGTCAGCTCTTCAGTCTTTCTCATTTTCTACCTCCTACTCTCCAAGAAGTGCATAGACGAAAGCCGCGGCAGGACACCAGGTGCAAGGCAACAGATGAGGGCGGCACAGGGGGGAGCAGATGACAGAAAATAGAAGGAGCTTGCCACAGAAGTCAAGAGAGTAGAAAATAGCTCATACTAGAGCAGGCCTATAAGCATAGTCCGTGATCTTTAAAAAGGGAAAAGGATAAAAGCAGAGAGATGGAGGGGAGCAGGTGGCAATATTGCACCAAATATCATCCAGATGCGACCCGTGTTTATATAGATTACTACATAAAATCATATAGATCTTATGTGTGGAAAGCAGAAAGTTAAAATGATAACATATCAAAGCTATTTGCAGCATGCAACTGTTAACATTGTTTTTTTTTGTAACCTGAACACAAACAATGGGCTTCATTTTCAAACGGCGGAATGTATGCCTTTGTGCCGGTGAACCTGAAGCACACTGCTCAAAAGGAGGAAGGTGCTCCTGCCAGGCCACCGAGTAGACAGGCTTATCTCCAAGACCCACATTTGCCTCCATTCACTAGCACACACAACCGCACAGACACATGTACGTACCAGAGCCCCGACATCAGTGACCACAACTAACCCGCGCGCACACTCACAGCGATGACCTTTACAGAGTGGTGGAGTTTGAGTGCTTCTATCAATCTACTTAGAAATCCAAGGACCACTTACACACACTCACACACACTCACACACACTCATACGCACAAACTCTATTTCATCATTTCAGGGGATATCACCTTGTTGTTCTGTGATTCCCTGGAGATGACCCTGACCTTAAATTGGGTCCACAATCTAAAATCTTAAATTATTGTACGTGGTCCTTTCTTTGTGATCCCCAATGGGAAGCCAGTCCGCATGACTGAGTAAACAAATTAATGTCCCCACAAAATGAGTAAAATGAGTGCATATGCAAACACACACAACCCCAAACACACAAATGCATAATACACACTCCATCCCAATCCTAATTGAACTGGTGACATTCTCTTTCACTAGAGTGAGTGAGATAAAGCTATTAACAGCATGGAGAACAAGCGCTGCACAATAATTGCAGCTCCACAGCCTTGTGTAGCCGAGGATGTAGAGTGTCACAAGAACATTTGGCAGAGCTACACACTCCATCCCCACAGAGGCTCACTGTGATTCTCCAACACTTTGTCGAAGCTAACTGGCGAGACATGGGGTGAATTTAGATACCCTGGAAGAGTTTACGGGCACTGAATTCCTTGTGTATTCTTCTTAAAATAGTTTACTATCGTGTCATAACTGATCACTAGCGACAAGAATCTATGTATGTATAGTCTGTTTTGACATAGATAAATCCCTTTGCAGGACAAAAAAACCCATTCCTTGCAATGACCTTTATTTCTGTTGTTTATATCCATTCATAAGACACCAAAAATAGTCATTATTTTCGGGTTTATGTCCAAATCTTCCTTTATGGAACTATGTGAGCTGATTTAAAACGGAAACATTGCATCGAGAATTTGTTCCAACTGGATCTAAAATCATAACTTAAATGTAATTCTAACATAAAACTCAAGCACTTAAAAGTCAGAAAACAGTATTTCATGTTGATCCCTCAGTGTTGATGTGGTTTGCAGCAGCATCTCTCCTCTTATTCTAAAAAATCTGAAGTCCCTGCAGCTGTGAGGAAACATATCCTCAATCTTCATTTCAAACTCCCTGTTAAGAAATTACTGACAAAAAGAAAAGAAAATTTCTCAATTTTGTATGGGTGCCAAACTCTAAAATACAAACGTCTTGTACGATTAACTAAAATGAAAGAAGGTTTTAATAAGGGCACGGGTAAAAAAAATGAAACTATAAAATAACATTTGGAACTGAGTCTATCCTTCTGAGTCTATGCACTTTATTTTGCACTTGTGTGTCTTCTGAAAACAGTGCTTAACAGAGCAGTAGCTGCAGATTTTATGAGCTGTTGCTAATGGGAGCTTCAGCAGCCATAAACCAACATTATGACGAGGGAGAATGCCTACGGATCCATGTATGTATAGTCTGTTCTCTTTGACCGTGGGGGAGTTGCTGCCCAGCTGTTCTGATCACCATATAAATCACAGCCGTTAAGTGGGACTTACTGACAGGAATCAACCCCCCTAAGCCACTGGGTGCCAAGATAACGTCGCAGAAATCTAGACAAGTGATACAATCAGTACTGATAAGTACTGAATCAAGATTTTACAAGTTCCCAACTAATTTGAGGGATTAAAATAAAGCATTTCTATTTATTAATATCAATCAATAGAGAAAACTATGCTCACCTATATAAACAAATACATTAGATATCAATTTTTGTTTTTCCCCCGCTGATTAAATCACAGGAATTGACATCCACTGAGCCTCCAGCATGAAAATGAGTTAGAATTTAATTTCAATTAGCAATTCATTTTAACCTAAAGCTGCAGAGGCACACATCTCAAGTAGTCTCAAACCTCATTAAAAAATTTTTTACTAGAACGCCAGACTCTCCTGTGATTTTTGGAAGTAATACTGAGCAAGAGTTTTCTAGAAAAAACGAAAAAAAAACAACAACAAATAAACAAAAAGTAGTTGCCTCATTGCCATAATCACACTTCAACATAAGGGACAACAAGAGCCAACCATATATATTGGTACCCTTGCTTGTCACATACACATAATCTGTTGTAACTGTTCAGAATTGTGTATTCGCACCAATATAGTGATAAAAAAGTTACACATACTGTATGTGTATATATATTCTACAAGAAACAAATATACGCACACGGCTAAATGTATAAAAACTAACACAACAGAACAAACAGCATGTTAAATGTGTGTATGTGTGTGCAAATATACACCTTCATATGCAACTACAGCATGGTGCTTTTAGAAAACACGCTCAACAGTTATGCCCCATTTCACGCTCCAGCAAAACCTACCGGCTGACAGGACCATGTTACGTAACATAGCATTTCACAACTCACTGTGTACCAATGTTCACATACACACTAGTGTGAAAAACACATAAAACATCAGGACAAAAATCTAATAATTTGAGCACAGTGGAAATACACAATTATTTAAAAAAAAAAACATGCACATAAAGCACCAGTATGAAAAAGGTAATCAATAATATATTGTCACACCCATGCCCTGATCTTAACTACATGCATTCAGACCACCCCAGATGAAGGTGCCGTGGTGAGACCCGCTCACTGTCAGCAGCAGCTACTAACTTCAGATACAGCAGAATAGGATTACTTTTTTTTCTCCTTCCTGCCTATCTCCCACAGGCCCCTATGCCCTGATCCCGTCTCTCCGTAGCCATCTGCTTTAAACTATGTGACCCAATGCCAAGGACAAGATTTACTGGAGCGATATCAGCTGTGATTGGAGGGATATTCTTCCCCATGGATTTTCCAGACATGCATTAAACACTTTTTGTTTTGGAACACTAACTGAGAATATTGGATTGTTTGGTCATGTGTGCACAAGTCACAGGCAATGATTTTAGGTTGGAATGCTTTTCAAATGCTAGCATAATGTTTTCACGCCATTCAAAATTTTGATTAAAAGAATGTGGAGAGAGTATCCAAAAATAAACAGAAAAAACAATATTTTTTGTAAGCTGCAGTGGAAACAAAGACTTCTTTATTCAAAAGCTGACAACACAGGCTAAAACAAATGGTCACGTTAAAGCCATAAAAACAAAACAACTATAAATATCTGGCAAAACTATTTTAGAATTGTTGTTTGAGGAGATCTCACACCTCCGTAAGGAAATGAAAGAAAATGTTCAGAGATGAAAAAGGAGAAAATTCAAAAACTCATCTCAAAATAGGCTTGGAGAGACAGGACAAGTGACGCCACAGGGGGAAAAAAATATATAAATAAACTTAGTGTCTTCTCTGCAACATCCAGCAGCCTCGGGGGGATTGCATTAAAAATTCATCCTGTGATTTATCTGCACTCTGCTTGGCAGGCCGGCCCCGCCACACTCCACTATCCTGTTTTATTGTGCACTCTCTTCTGAGCTGTCTTTCAAATTACCACACAAGCAAGCAGCCGCACACGCACGTTCACACCATGGAAGAGTACTCCTACATCATAATATATAAACAAAACCATGCTCGTAGCTGTACCAAAAACACCTGAAATGTGATACAGAAAAAGCTACAAACCCACATACAGGAGAGTCTACAGTGTATGCCATCAATAATCTCAGACTATGTTTTTCTTTTCACGTCTAAAACCAGCGTTAATCAGGCCTGGTTCTAAGGCAGCGTCCTAAATTACCAGCATTCTAACACCACCTTGGACAAAAGGACTGTGACATTTGTGTAATTTGCTCATAATTATTGCACTTGCAAGGTCTAAAAAGTTTATTGGCTGCCTATAAAATCTTATGACCATGGTGCATGTCTGCTAAAAGCAAGTCAGATGACACTGCAAGATTCTGAAGAGACTTCTACAATATCAGCAGCAGTGTGCCTCCATGTAAAGCACTATGGATGCCAAGCACTTACCCGCAACACACTGAAAACATTTGGAACATGGAAACTAAAACCGAGATAAAAAATAAAAAAAAGGGTTAGACTAGGATTTTGAAGAAATATGAAGTCTAAGAATGGGAAAAGATTTCTCTTTGAAAACTCATACAATGTGTAAAAAGAAAAAGGTAATGAATAAGAGGGAAACTATAGTGAATTACCACATGACACATGCGTGTTTTAAAGCTGGACTAATTTTAGCTGAATTTAGAATTTGAATGCTTAGAAGATTATGACCTTCTGGCAGAACGTCACTGCTAATGATGGTCTGTACACAGCTAAACAACACACTAGACACACACACAGAAAAATAAAAAAAACAGTGTTCATGGTTGACACGAATATCAAAAACAGCCTGAAAGTGTCTGCATGTATTGAAGGAATCTCAGACAAAGTAGCTTATCGGACAGTCTTGCGGTTTGCATTTTGACACCCTTACCAAGGTCAGTATTGGCCGCATTAGCTTAAGCCATGATTAATCACAGTAGCGGGTTTGCAGCACTGGCATGCGCCGGTCTCATTACCCCTGGTTATTTATGAGCACGGCCATATTCCTCCGATGCCCAACCTCAGCACCTTCAGAAACCTCTTGTTTTCTCTCCATTAAGCATTTTTGTTTTCCATCCCCTTTTTTTCCTCTTTTTTCTCATGCCTCTATCCTCCTTTATCAAGCGGTCTTACACTTTTTCACTTTTTGTACACATTTTTTTCTTCCTCTTGTTCCAGTTTTTAATAATTCATCTTCTGTTCACCCCCCCCCCCTCCCTCCCCCCTCAGGGGAGCAGCTCCCACTGTCACAGGCCAAGAGCATTAATCAATCCCTCGTCTTGCTCGTACTCTAGCTCTACCTCTCTCAGCTCTTAACCTCCCTCCTCTTGCCACTTCTCAGCTCTCTTTCTGCTTTTGACATCCTCTCTGCTTTTCATCTCTCATGCTTCTGTCCATCATTTATGTTTTTTATGGTCTTATCGAGCCCCTCTTGTCATCCTCGCTTTCCACAGCTTTCTTTGATCCTTAGAGTCATTCATTTCTCCTTACATTGCAGGCCTTCTTGCAGGGTTTCTTCCTCTTCTGATGCTTGCACTAATACAGGGAACCTAATTTCTATTCTTTTTACGCATGTGGAATGAAAATGCAGTTCAAGACCACTCAGTGTAAAACCTTCGTAATGTAACAAATGTCAGATGAATATTTAGATGACAATGGATTCGTTTCATGCATAAATTCTATGGGTGTCATCATTTTAATGCAAAGATATAACAGAGACCAGACTGACTGGGTCATTAAAAAAATCAAATGTGCTTTCATAATTTTACCTTTTTTGTGCTTTTCCTGTGCATTGCTACCATCCTTTTAATCCTCAACCTGACAGTCTTTTTCTCTTTCATTTCATTGTTCTTAATGCTCTTTACTTCCTCTGTCTTGCTCCTCTTTCCTGTCTTATCCACCTCACCTTTCTCTAGTGATTTATGGATTTTTGTCCCCTATCTTTTCCAAGCAAAGCTTTTATCAACTACCGATCTCCCAGTCTAGGACGGGGTATTGGTTGACAAGTCTAGAAATCTTATCAGATTGAACTCTTACACCCTGCAGTTTGGAGAAGTCATGTCTCATCTGTGGATAACTGACCCTCACACACAGCCCTCCAGCCTCTAGACACGAAGAGTGCATTACCATGCCTGCAGGAGGAGTGGTCGCTTGTTTCCTTCCAGCTGACGCCCACTTCTGGAGATGGGGGCGCGTGGTAGGGGGTGCAAAAGCGAGGTGACTTGTCAGGATGTTGTTGACGGGCCGTTCCTCCTCCTCATGTGCTCGTCTCTCAGGCTGGCCACTGCTCCAAAAGGGTCGTTTTCTAACGGGCAGAAAAGACAGAGGAAGGGGTGAGACGGGCCAACATTTGATCAAAGCCACAACGACTGCAGGAGGACGAGCCCGGAGGAAGTTGCAGAACTGTTGCACTCAAGGACGAGAGTGCAGAAAGGCAGATTTGCTAAATAAATGAAGAAATTCGAACAGAATACGAGAAAAAGCAGAAACGCAGGTTATCGTCCGTAAGGGCCTGAAGCAGACTCATCCTGAGTCTCTGTAACACCGGGGACCTCAGCTTTGCCTCCACTTTGACGTCTAACTTCCCTCGGTTCACACACACACGCACTCATACTCCTGTTACAGATCTGTCAGACAGGCCGATGACCCCCTTGGCAGATAAATGTGGACATGCAAGGACCCACATAGGCCCTTGTTAGCATTTCATGAGCTGGCAGGCTCATGAGGGAGGGGATGTAACACAAACATGAAGTTGTTTTCACGCACTGGGTTACACACTTAAGCCGAACACACCCTCCTCAGTTTAGAGCGACGCAAGCCGACCTGGTAGCTGTTTATTACATCTATTTTTTCCGAAGAAAAGCAGAGCTGTTAGGACCATCAAATGTCTGTTGGCGTTTTATTGTTGAATGAACATTCCACTACAATTAGTTTTGGATAAATACTCTTAGCACCTACGGCTGTCACCTCCTCCCACCTATTGGGCTCTTGAGCCTTTTTCATGTGGCCTGAAAACTGAATGTGCACACGGAGATGTCGAGCTGGTTGAAATTGCAACTACACACCTGACATTAGTGCCAGTGGACTGTAAAAGTTATGTTCTGTCACAATAAAAAGATCAAGCTTTTAAACAAAAGCGGAAACACACTGCAGGCCGGTTAAAAACAGTTTGGATATAAAGATAAATGTGAATTTTTTCTCCTTGTGGAAATGTTATGCAAAATGATCAAAAAGCTCAATATTTGAAGTGAGGACAATTATGCAATCATTGTGAGACAGGCCTAAAGTGTCATTAGAGTCAACATATGGAAAACTTAATTGGATTAAGGGATAATCCATCTTCAGTGAGCCTGTAATTGTGTAATATATGGAAAACACATAGATTTATTGATAAATTATGGAACAAAAAGAGTCAATATGGGGTTTCTGCTTTAGAATAACTGCTGAATTTAGTGTAGAAGACTTACAACTCACTGAAGGGCAATCGGACAGGAATGACGGAGAATAAATTAGGAAAAATGCAACTGGACAAAACATTACATTGTTCACTGTCTAGGGGAACAGTGTTATAAAGTTCTCTAAATAACATGTTTGACAGAAAAGGTCACTCTCACCTTATCTGGTATTCCTTCAGCCAATAAAAATAAATAAATAATTTGGCCGTATACAATGGGAAAAAACCTAGCTCTTCAGAGCGTGTGGACTCAGGCAAACAGAAACAAAAACAGTGTTGGTTTCTATGTGACAAACCAGCCAACAACTCATCTAATGACTGACGACTAAACATTTGGTGCTGCTGTAAAAACACGAGCCAGTTTCATCAGGACGGAGCAAGTTGATGTTAACAGATACAAAGCGTTCCTGTTTCCAACACGAAATGTCAACAGTATCAGGCCTGACAGTGCGCAGGTACATCTGGCCACACTCAGGCCACATAAATGACATTTCCAGAGCCGTGCGCGTTTAATCGTGCTTACAGGGGGGGCTTTCTTAAGGAACCATTCCATACTCACGGGCTGCACAATCAGCTGAGCACAACAACATTCTAAAGTGTTTTTTGTTTAAATCATGAAAGCATCACTTCGTTGTCAGCTTAGAAACTGATCTAAATGGCAATTTAAAAAAATATCAAACCCAGCGGTGCTCGGCAGCAATGGTTCCACCTAAACTCAGCTTAAAGTTTCCACTTGTGGTCTCTTAAGAATCTGATTTGCATATTAAAAACTACAGCAGTTCATGCTCTTGGCAAGTAATGACCGGAGAGCATTGCGCCTGCAGAAAGCCAGAAGGTCAGCATCGAAGCTTTCATACACAATGTAACCACTTGCTATGACGGGATATGGCGGTGCATTGTGCAGGCTATCAGGGTGCGCTGCCTTTCCTTCACACTGTGCCTCGTGTTTGTTCATTCTCTCTGGTCTGGCAGCGCTTTCATGAACACATGCTCACATCGCTTTATGAGTGCACAAAGTTGTAGTATTTTTCCACACAAAACACCTCCTCATTAAAAACTATTAACAGTTTCTATTAAAAACTGTTTTCGATTTTCCATTTCCCGTCTCCCCATCATGTTTAACACTCATTGCATCGCATCATTCGCAGTATTTCGGGACATGACCAGTTCAGTTATATATATTTTTTCTTTGTGTTGACCAAGTCCTATAAAATACATTTTGGGTTTATTGTTTCTTCCATATAGAAAACCAAACTCCTGTAATTCCTTTTATGCTTTTACCTTTCCCTTGGTGAGGTGAAGTTGTTTCAACATGCAAATGATACGCATGAACAAACACAACAAAAAAAAACAACAAGAATAAGCATAACTTTGAACCCAAACTAACTCCAGATTTTATGACTATGATGGTCATTTTATGGTTAGAGCATAAATCTCACTTTCTGTGGACTGCAATGTGAAATAAACCAGCCCGGGCCTTCCAGGGTCCATTTAAAGGTACAAACGCATCTCATACTCCATCTTTCATCAGCACATTGACATATATATATACACACAGTGGTTGAATTCAGGTGCAGTCAGAAGAAAGAATAAATAAATAAGGAAAGGGAAAAGGGAAATTATGAGATAAGGGGACAACCTACAAGAGACGAAAAACAATTAGCAAACTGCAGTATTAAAGGATGAGGCCAGTGCAGGGTGGGAGATAGCATGGACAGGGATTGCCTAAAACACCAGATATTGAGCTAACCCTCGGGCAAACTCCACCAGAAGCTGCTCCTCATTTTGCTCCCAGCTCCAGCTCTTTAGGCTTCTAGCCTCAGGCCTGCCACAGTGACAATGGCTTCGTCAGCACACCTGGCAGCAGCACTGTCTGTGTCTACTTGCGTTTTGCCCGCTACCGTGGAGCCGGTGCTCCTTGCTGGAGGCGGGTAGGCTTTCTTCCAGCATGGCTTGGCCACTTAAGACTGTATGCACATGATTAGAGAGCATGCACACAAACACAGACAGAGATACAAACACCCAGCCAAGAGGCAGAGTAGCTGTGTGCCAGCTCCATTCGATTTTCATTATCAGAACAATTCAGTCATAAACAAAAAAACACAGATTTCACCCCTCTCTTTCGCCTCTTGTTGCACTTCCCTACAAAGTCAAGTGTAAAACAATGAAACAACACAGTGCATGGTAAATTACAATGGAATATAATCCATATGTTCTTTGAATGGAATCTTAAGATAAGCCTTCATCAAACATGGCAAAAATGTGGCCAATATCCTTCTATATCTTCTTCTATATCCCACTGGGAGATTAAGTAGACTGGGCTCCATCGTGCATGACGGCGTGTTGCCTGAACTAACTCTTTCAGCCCGTTTGTTCATAACCCTCCTATGGTCTTTCTTCACTGGGCGAACACTGATCAGTTATTACATTTCTTTCAGCATCCACCCACCATTTTTCTTTCCCCACCAGTATGCATCCCCACTTCTTTTTTATTTATTTTTTTTCCTATTCACACCATGCTGGCTGGTCATTAAAGTGTGATTGTGTGGTGCTCTCCCAAGAAGGGAATAGAGACGGGGGAAAAACTGGCGGAGGCCCCTGCCTCATTAACGCCTGTGGCGGCTCGTGGGCATTAGTTCGTGCGCACACACATGAATATATTAGCGCATGGCATACGCACACCACAACCCCTAAACCTCAATCTGGGCCCACAGTTAAGATTGGATATATTTTTCAAAGAACTTTATGCATGAGGGAAAGCTCACACCTGTGCCGTAGCCTTTCTTTGCCGGATAGGCAGAGGAAAAACGGTGTGGAAGACGCTGGAATATGACAGAGAGAATGCTGGGCTGGGGAATTTGCTGATATAGCTGTGAGTGGCAATTTACACCTTTCTCATCTGATAAGCATCAACGGGGATAAGCAGTGAAAGAGACAGAGTGATGGGAGACAGAAGATTGACAAAAGGCAAAGACTGTGCATTAATTATAATTAGCAGGGCACATTTTTTTCAAATTTTTTCCTACATTGAGCTTACATTTTTTAACGTGCAATAGTTTTACCAGACCTTCAGATCATTACTGTTTCAGTTAAAATGCTTGTTTGAAGTTTGCAGGATGACTTTCATAACTCATTGTGGTGGTGTTAAGATGACTGCTCCTCGTTCCTCAAAACCTTTGCGTTTGTTTCAGCTGTCAGGCTTTTTATTCTGAATCTACAACCAAACTGTTTTGATGCTCTTCAGTGAAGCAGATCTACAACGTAGCTAAAGTCGCAAAGAAATGGGCTGGTATAAATATGGATGGCGTTCCAAGCAGTGGTGCGTCTGTATATCTGATTCTACTTTTGACTCAATTTAATCTCAATAAACTATCCCTGGATAAAGTATTTCGGGTCTTGAACAATCTGCAAAATAGTTTGTAGATGAAATGCGCCACACAGACGTCAATACTAACAAATGCAAAACATTTTCTAAACTAGTGGTGCACAAATAATCAGATTGGATACCAACTCACGCATACCAGCTCTGTTGTTTGTGTAAACAGGTGACAGCTGACTAAGAAGTCTGTTTGCTTTATGTATTTCTCAGCTAAGGTAAGACGGCAGAGCAAAGGGAGACAGAGACTAATGGAGAGACAAGTGGCCGGAAGCACAGATGCCGCTACAGGGGGGAGAAGGAGAGGTGTAGTAAACAAGGTAAAACATGTCTAGATTAAGATGACCTGTTTTTGACTGAACAAGCAATAACAGAGAACCTTAAGAAGGAGAAATTGATGTAACGGTTTCCTCTTTAAAAGATTTAAAATCCATGTTTCACTTCTGATGAAAATTCATTTTCTCTAAAAACTCATTTTCCTTTCATGTAAATCTT